AACACGTGTCACGTGTACCCATGAACGTTCCCTGTGCTCAGTGCTGCACCTGGGCAGGGACCAAAATGAATCTGAGGCCACAGGAGAGCTCCGGGCGGGCGGGTTCCGTGGCGCCCTCCATGCACGCCTGTTGTCATGGCCCGGTGTCCTGGCGGAGGGTGGCAGGAGCGTCTGTTCCCGGAGCAACGCGGGTGGACGGGCCCTTGGTGGGCCGGAAGAGCCTGTCCTCAGCTCAGGACCAAGCGGGGGGGAGCAGGGGACCCCAGGAGGCTCGCGTATGTCCCTCCGTGTCGTCCCAGCGTCCCTGGAGGAGTCCTCAGGCTGCGGTGGTCAGACAGACTCTCTGGCTCTCAGATTGCCACACCAGCCGCCGTGGCCCCCAGACCAGAGGGTGCACGAGACGGCGAGGGGGACCTTGGGCTGGCGCTTCATTGCTTAGCTCATACCCGCCCTTCCCTTTGGCGCCCACCTGCCCCCAAGGAGTCTCTGTGATGGCGGGGACCCTGTGGGCTCCGGTCGGGGGCCTCTCCGCAGAGTGGAGCTCGACAGTTGTCCAGGCCGCGGTGGGGCCAGGGTGGAGGAGCCTCAGGGCTGGGCAGCCCCTGCCACCTGGTGGACGTGTGTGTGTGTGTGTGTGTGTGTGTGTGTGTGTGCACGCGCGTGTGTGTGTGAAACTTGCCCGGAAGTCCGTGCCAAAAGGGAGAAAAGGGTCTGAGAGCAAGCCCTGGAGAGAAGGCACTGGCCTGGCACAGCCGGCCCCATGCACCCCAACACCACAGAGCAGCAGGAGCAAAGCCAGGTGTGAGCCCCGAGCACCCTTGGGTGTGGTCCCATAGTTCGAATGAGCAGATGGAAGGGGACGTGTCAGTCCTCCGGGTGTCTGACCAGGGGCCTCCTCACCGGCAGAAACTGGCCCTGTCACCCTCGTGCCCCCCGCCCTGGACTCCTGGCCGCTGCCCCTCCGACCTTGACTGCACATTGGATCCACCTGGGTGAGCTTCCAGATCATTCCAGCACCTGCTGATGCGCAGCCAGCCAGGCCTGGTGGCGCAGGGCTGGGGCCCTAGGTGCCTCTCTCAGGGGCCACCAGAGCCACGCGGTGCAGTGCTGGGGGACCCAGGGCTGGAGGCAAAGTCCTTGCCTCCCCTCCCCCACCTCCTGGCCCCGAGCTATCCCTCTGGGCCCACAGATCACTTTCCCTCTTGATCGCAGCCGCACAGAGGAAGGGGAGGCAGCAGTGTTAGCAGAGGCACCAGGAGCACCTCCGTGTGGGCCAGTGGCTCCAGCTCCTGCCTTGCCAGCGTCTGGTCATGGTGAGTTCGAACCCTGCTGCCACCATGTGTGCCCCATGCATCCCGGGCAGCAGCCTGGGCCTGGGACCTCTGACTTTGACAAGGTGACCCAGAGAGCCAATGGCTGTGCCCCCACGTACATCTGAGAAGCCACCTGCTGGCTCACACAGCTGCATCAGCATCCCAGCCCCCCTTGGGGTCAGGTGCCTCCCGGGGTCACGAAACTGCACCCCGGAAATAGGAGGTGAGAAAAGTCACGCTGACATTTCGACCAACGTTCTGTGGCCTCAAGCATGACAAAAGTCACAAGCTGAGACCCAGGAAGGTCGCACTTTCCGTTCCCCGCTCCTGGCTCCTGGACTGAGACGCCTTGCACTTCTCATGTGAGCTCGGTGAGCTGCCTTGGCGGGGAGGGGGCGGCTGTTAGGTGCCAAGACTCCGGGGTGTCATATTTCGAGGACACTCCTCGGACTTTCAAACTGCCCAAGCAGAAGGTCGCCCACGTGCACGGGGCTCCAAACTGCCCATTTTGTTTTTGTTTGTTTTTTTAAAAAGTATTTTGTGGCTGCATTTAGAGTGAAATATAATTAAAATTCTATAGGTGATGCAGTGGGAGTGTGAGCCCCCCCCTCACAGTGCTGGGTAGGGAGGCCACAGTCCCGCAGGCCCCTGAGTGGCTGTGTTGGGCAGGACTTCGGGGCCTCTGGACCCAGAATCAGGGGCCCGCGGGGGGAAGAGAACCAGCCAGTCAGATGGAGGAAGTAAAGGGGTGGAAGCCCCTGCACTGACAGGAGGATGCTCCTCCCTAGGGGGTGCCAGGCCAGGGGATGGCATGACCGGGTGGGGGCATCTGAGCGGGAAGATGAGGCTGGGGAGGCTTTGCTGCCCAGGGGAGGACGGGGCGCAGGCTCTGAGGCTCATCGCTGAGGAGGCACTGACCCGGCCCACCTGAGCACACAGCGTGTGTCTGTGTGTTGTGTGTGTCTGTGTCTGTGTCTCTGGCCGCCTCCACTGGCCAGCCCCCTGGGAACCCTCTGGCGCTGTTTAGTTCAGTTTTCCCAGGTTTCTCTCCTGTTCCACCCGAAAGACTCTTGCTTGTTTTGAAGCCCCCTGGAGGTGCTCAGAGGTTGCTCCTGACTCCTTTTTTTTTTCTTTTTGGGTCACACCCGGCGATGCTCAGGGGTTACTCCTGGCTCATGCACTCAGGAATTACTCCTGGCGGTGCCCAGGGGACCATATGGGATGCCCGGGATTAAATCCGGGTCGGCCTCGTGCAAGGCAAACCCCTCCCCGCTGTGCAATGGCTCCAGCCCCATGCTCCTTTGTGTCTGTGTGTCTCTGTATCTATGTCTGTGTATGTGTGACTGTGTGTGTGTGTGTGTGTGTGTGTGTGTGAATGCAGCCTGAATGTGTGTGGGACTCCGTTGGGGGCGGGCTCCTCTTTCAGGGAAAGCTCTGGGAGGTTTCCACCAGGGGATAACGTGGAGGGTCCCAGGGACAGCGGCTGTTCTGGAAGGTCAGCGAGGCTCAGGACTGAGCATGGCAGCCTGGTGGGCAGGGCCAGGCCGCCACAGCCCTGGGGTCGTGTTCCGGAGGGAGGGCCAGGGGGAGGGTCCAGGGAGCCGGGACAGGCACCTGTGGGCCACCAGGCTGTGTCAAGAGCCACAAGATCAGCGTTCCGGAAATGGCCCCGATGGGAGTCAGGTTCTCGCCATCCCCCTGCAGAGTCCCCCGAGACTCCCGACGCGCCCCTGTCTGCACCCGTTTGTCTCAACCAGTCTCTGTTGCTGGGACCCATGCGCGGAGTCATTCACTCCTGTCTGGCCCACGCGCAAACAGGGCGGTGGATCACGTGACTGTCTCCCTGCTCCACCCTGGCTCTCAGTGAGCGCAAAATCCTGATGCTCATTCCTTGAAAGACGACAAGTAATTCTTGGGGATCTTCTAGGACCCTGTGAAAATTCGTATCCCTTAATAACCTCCGTGAACCCAGGCTGGTGTGGTTTCCAAGTAAGAAGGGACGGTACAGACGTATAAATAGACCAGCCCCGAAATTTAATTAGACACCGCATATGTTAATAATAAATTCAATTAATTTAGGCTTCTACCTATGCTGGAGGAAAAAAAATAAGGCAAAATAGTAATTCATTTTAAATGCCTCAGTTGGTGACTGCCTTTCCTGAAGAGTGATTTATGCCGTAATTTACTGACTGTGCCTCATAAGATTGTTCCAATCCAGCCCTTTTGAAATAATAATAATTTCTGAATGTGGGTTGTGAGAGATATAACAAATGACTTCTTATTAATTTTCATTTAATGAGTTGCCTATTCACATGGTAATTTCCCCCCCTAAATTCTCATAAGATAAACAGGTTATAAATATTGCTGGAGAATGCTTCCGTTACACACACACACACACACACACACACACACACACACACGAAAAATTGCAACCAGAAAAAAAATTGGTCTTTTGCTCTCTCCAGGATTTGGAGGTCAATCAGTTGCAATTTTCTACACTAAATAGGCATCTATTTCCTTCCAAGTTAGCACAGCTGATCACTTGAAATTTCTATAGCCTGGTGATTTCGAATTGGTTATAAAAAAAAAAAAGAGAAAGAAGAAGGAATAGGATGTATCGTCTGGAAGGGAAAGGTCTTTGCAGGTAGACAGAAGGCCAGCATCCCAGGCAAGTTGCAGGCAGGTTGGATTGGTGAAGAAAGCTCACCAGTCTCCTATCACTGTGTTTTAAAACGGTAGTTTAGTTTTGTTTTTTCTTTTTGGGTCACACCCAGTGATGCTCAGGGGTTACTCCTGGCTCTGCACTCAGGAATGACTCCTGGCAGTGCTTGGGGGGACCATATGGGATGCCGGGGACCAAACCCGGGTTGGCCGTGTGCAAGGAAAACGCCCTCCTTGCTGTACTATCGCTCTGGCCCCTGTAGTTTATTTTTCACTCTTTGGCACGCTGGGAACCAAACCCAGGCCTCAGACAAGCCAGGCCCAGACTTTCCCACTGATTCCTGTTTAAAGAACAAAATTTGGGACCCGGGAGACATAGGCCAGAATGCAGCCTCTTGCCTTGCAGGCATGTGACCCCTGTTTGACCTCTCTCACCATCAGGAATGACCCCTGAGCCAGGAGTAGCCCCCAAACACGGCCAGCCTTTCCCTTCAAAACTTTGAGGCTCTCTTACAGCTTCTGGATTTCTCCCGCTCCTGCCCTTTATAAGCACTGCACTGCACTGTCCTCCTGTTGTTCATCAATTTGCTGGAGCAGGCCCAGTAACGTCTCCATTGTGAGACTCGTTACTGTGCTTGGCACATTGAATACGCCACGGGTAGCTTGCCAGGCTTTGCCGTGCGGGCGAGATACTCTCGGTAGCTTGCCGGGCTCTCCGAGAGGGGCAGAGGAATTGAACCCGGGTTGACTGGGCCGTCCGCGTACAAGGCAAACGCCCTACCGCTGTGCTATCACTCCAGCCTTTATAAGGCACATAAATATTCCTATTTCAGCGCCGTTAAGAGCTTATCTTGTCCAGAGGTTTGGTGGCGTCGAAGTTCATAAATCATATGAAACTCGCCAGGGTGAAACAGATAAAAGGGGGGAAGAATCATTTGAAAAGCCCGGAGGCCGTGACCCAAGGGGTCGCAGGTACTTGAGAGGGTGGATGCGGGTGGAGGCCCCTGGAAATGGGGCCAGACTTACCCGAGAAGCGGAAGGGCCTGGCGCCCAGGCCACACTGCCGGACGCCCTGCCCGTGGAAGAGGCCGTACTGCAGCTCGCCCACGAACTTGTCCAGCTCCGGGCCTGAGGCGTTGACCAGCAAAGCCGCGGTCTGGCAGAGGAAGGTGGCTCGAACCCAAAGCGGGGTCCCCAGCGCCGCCACCACACCGAGGGCGCACGCGAAGCTCAGCACCCCGGCCGTGCAGAAAATGACCTTCTTCTGCTGGCTGGGCATGACCGGGGGGACGGCGAGGCCCGGGAGGCCGGGGGGCCGCCCCGGGCATCAGGGAGGCTGGCGGGCGCTGAGGCTCAGAGCAGAGGCCGGCCCTGGGGGACCTGGGGCCCCGTCGCCTCCCACTCTGCCATCATCTCTGGACTAAGGCTCGGGACGGAAACTCTGGCAAGACGCTCCGAGGCTCTGGTCTCGTGTCGCTTGGTAACCAGCGTCTAGGATGACAGATGGAGGCTCCCTGCGCTGGTAACGTGATCGGGCCCCCTCCCCGCCTGGGGCTCCCTGTGCTGTCCAGGTTTCCCAGTGGGCTGCACCTGGGCGCCCTGGGGCAGGGGCACATGGTCCCGACTCAGGCTGAGCTGAGCTGCTCTCTCTTCTCCCTCCCTCCCTCCCTGCTTCCTTCCTTCCTTCCTTCCTTCCTTCCTTCCTTCCTTCCTTCCTTTCTTCTTCTTTCCATCCTTCCTTCTATCCATCCTTCCTTCCATCCTCCTTCCCTCCTTCCCTCCTTCCCTCCTTTCCCCCTTCCTCCCTTCCTCCCTTCCTCCCTTCCTCATTTCTGGGTAGGGGAAGGAGAAGAGTGTTGACAGAGGTAAGGGCATTTGCTTTTGGAAAATGTAATTTCCCAGAGCTGGAGCTGGCCCTGTGTGCAGACAATTTGGGTTCCATCTCCAGCACCCCGTGTGGGGCTTTTGGAAGCTTCCTGGTCGCCCCTTTAGGAGTGATTCCTGAGTGCAGAGCCAGGAGTAAATCTTTTTTTTTTTTAACTTTTTGGGTCACACCCAGTGATGCACAAGGGTTACCTTCTGGCTCTGCATTCAGGAATTACTCCTGGTGGTGCTCAGGGGACCATCTGGGATGCTGGGAATCGAACCAGAATCAACCATGTGCAAGGCAAACGCCCTCCCCGCTGTGCTATCGCTCCAGCCCCACACCTAAGTTTCTTGTTCCTCTTCCTGTTGCTGATTTTGGTTGCCACAGTGACTGCGTCTGGGACATGGGCCTCAGGGCTCCCTGAAGCTGCTGTGGGAGGCAGTGTGTCCCTGGGAAGGCCAAGCTCTGCCCCCTCCCCCAGGCAGTGCAGGACAAGGAGGAACTGCAGCGAGACTTTCCCGGCCCTGCATGGTGACAAGCTCACCCTCCACTGGGACGAACGAGACAGGCTCCGCTGCTCGGGAGCCTGTCCTCAGTGCTCCTGGTGGGAGCCCTCAGTGCTCACAGGTGAACCCTCAGTGCTCCTGGTGGGAGCCCTCAGTGCTCACGGGATGAACCCTCAGTGCTCCTAGTGTGATCCCTCAGTGTTCTTGATGTGCAGCTCCTCAATCCTTCACTTAAACTTCAGCTCACACTCACTTGACTTCACCGGTTCTTCCTTGTGGAGATTTATTTGAAAACATGAGACCACGCGACCAGAGCAACAGCACGTGGGTAGAGCACTTGCCTTGCCTGTGGCTGACCTGTGGTCAGTCTCTGACACCCATGTGGCCCCTGAGCTCACCAGGAGTCACCCCTAGTGCAGAGCCAGGAGTCAGCCCTGGGCACAACCAGATCCGCTCTCCAGCAATGAGAAACAGCGTGGGGTGGGGTGGGGCGAAACGGGCACCTGGGCACGTGGACTCTAAGATCTGTTTGGGGGATCCTATTCAGACTTTCATTTCTCAAACACCCACTTTATTCTCCGGCAGCCAAAGAGCTCCAGAACCAGTCACAACCATGCTGAGACCACTCTGCACACGCATGAAGGTACCAGCAGAGGAACAAAGGCATGCGGGTCCTGGGGCTGAGATCTCCAAGCCTGCTTGGATTGGGGCTGAGCATCCTCCACCCAGATCCTCCACATTCCAGTAGGCAGGGGTCACACCCACCAACTGACCCTCTGGCGCATGTAATCCCATCAACGGCCAAGACCCAGAGACTGTAAAACCCAGCTCCCGGAAGCAACATCTTATTATCTCATTCTTGCTTTGGACAACCTGGCAGGCTACCGAATGTGGCCTGTCCACACAGCAGAGTCTGGCAAACACCCCGTGGCGTACCCAATATGCCAAATACCAGTAACAATGATGGGTCTCATCCTCCTAGCCCTGAAGGAGCCTTGAATATGGCACTTTTTAAAATCTCAGGCAGGGCTGGGACAAAGGAAATGTTACTGGTGCCTGCTCGAGGCAATCAACGAACAACAGGATGATCGTGATCATGACCGTGACCACTTTATTCTCTTTAGAACTGTGATGGGAGCTGTCGAGGCAGGTGTCGGGCTCGAGAAGCCGGTTCTTCCCCTGAACTCTCAGCTAGAGTCAGAAACATCCGTGGAGCCCCTGTACTGGGATGGGCACAGTCAAGTTACTCACCATCACTGCTCTTCCCCCGAGAGACCCTTACTCCCACCCCGAAAGTCTACTCAGTGATGCTCGAGTTTGACCTTGAGTTCCCTTCCAAAAAATTAAACAAAACAGTACAAACAAACAAAAACCATGGTTTGCAAGCCAGGGTATTAAAATTTGTCCATTTGCTGGATTCTTTCATCTTCTTGCTCCCTTCACTGTACCAACCTGTTAGCTATCACAGAATATTGCTTTGCCTGGAGATACGAGATGGTTGATTATTCCAATTATTATTTTTTTAGATTATTTAATGAGAGTTTCTGGGGTTCGTCTGATTTATCACGGGTGATACTGATTTCGATTTTCTTCCAAATGGATCATTATACCCCAAGGCCTCTCTCAAAAATTCAACCGGGGTTTATCAAGCTTCCCATTCTAAGAGGCCTTTGTGACTCTACCCCATTTTTCTCTTCTTTTAAGAAAAATCTGGCATATTTGATTGACGTCCCTTGACTAATTCAAGTTGCTTGGTGATCCTCAAGTAGCATTGTAATTCTCTAATGACTCGAAAGGGTGTGGGGGGGGGGGACACTCCACAGAAAGAATTGATTGATTTATTAGGGGGAAAATTACCACATGTGCTAGACCTTGATTGCAGCTAATATTTGTCGAGCTAATTGCTTGAACTAGAGGATTAGAAGGGAAGGAAAAGAAAACAAAGTTCCTGTGGAATACAGATGAAGTCACGGTGCGTTTGGACTGGAAGGGCAGGGAGCGGGGGTCAGTTGTTGGGAGGCAGTCGTTGAGTGTGTGCAAGACTCAGGCCACTTTGGGGAGAACTGGAAGTTGAGGGAGATTATGGGATGTGAGGAAGGTCATGGAAGATGGAGGAAGGTTCTAGGAAGTGGGGTGAGGTTGCCACCAGGGGCGTTTACCGGAAGTGGGGGCACGTTATAAGGAAGGGAGATAACTGGAGGAGCAGGAAGAGGGAGAAGGTTGGTGACTTGGGATCTTCCTGTAAGATATGTGATGCTCTTCAATTTTTCCACATTTCTGTTAATGTCTCACACTAAGGCTAGGTTGGTACTTTAGCCTCAAGCCACCGAAGTGCCAGGCCAAAAAAGAGTGGGTGATGGCACCTTATTAGCCGAAGTCAGTGACAAAGAAAGGTAGAGTGTGAGATGCCTCCATTTACAGGTGGAGAGAGAGTGGATTGCCAGCCCTGGGGAATAATAATATAGTTCTTAATTGATATCACCTGGGGTAGATACGATGGTAAATTTTGGAGTCATTTGAGTCTGTCATTACCACCTATTATTATTGTATAAATGTGTTCCCTTGTGTGGGTGTGTGACACTTAAAATACTGACAATTTCCTTGATAACTTGCATCAAAATAATCATAGCAATATTAACGAGAAATGTACTACAGATGGGGGGCTTACTCTGTCTCCGTGCTCTTCTCAAATGCTCTGCATGTGTCAGTGCATTTCTCCTCTGACACACTGGGGCTGTGACTTGATTTCCGACCCCCCTCCTCACTCCAGACGTGCCAGGTAACAACTAACTTCATGTTCAGTCAGATCACAAAGTCTCCTGAAATATTCTTGTCGTGAAGAATTGGATAACCAACCAATTAGGTGGATTTATATCTTGTTAAATATCCAGAAACTTAAGGAGTGTTGACTTTCAGAGCAGTGCTGGCAGCATCTTTGGATTAATTACTGCCCCCTACACCCTCCTACCCCCTCGCCCACACACGTTTTCTGTGGCTTTCATCAAATCGCAAACTTAAGCATCTGTCAAAGCTTTAATTGAGCACCTACTGTGCACAAGACAGTAGGAAACAATGAGTGACTGAGTGGAGGGTTGAGATCATCTTCATGGTGTTGGGTTCAAGGCAAGAGGATGTCTTTCTTTTTTTAAAAAGTTTATTTTACTTTTATAAAGTTGTTCACAGTCATTTATTGCATCTAATATTCCAACACCAATCCCACCACCATTACACCTTCCCATCACCATATTTTGAATGTTTCCACCCTGACCCCCAAAGCCTGCCCCCAAAGCGTGACCCAAATAATTTATTTTGTGTTGCTTGTTATAATAATCTGCTTAAAATGATCAAAAAATGTTTCCTTAGAAGGGAAGTGTGTGAAGATTGTTGTATTTCACCCTGAAGGCATTAAACCCTTGTATAACAGAGATTACTAACATGTTGTTAAAGGTTGAGCCTTGTGTACTTTATATATATATTTTTTCCCACCCAAGATTGGTTGCTTTTACTTTACACCACATCGAGTGTACTGTGCTACTCTTGGTATATCAGCGATTTAGAGTATGATTCACAGCCTTGTGCCCCAGGAGTTCTAAAATTTTAAATATGGTAATACAGCTGAGGTTAATTTATTTTTTAAAACTAGATGGTGACTTTGGGGTCTGGAGGCATCTCTGTGGTGTGTTGCTCTTACGTTGCTCTCTGCTGAGAGACTTATTTGTGAGTCTCTGGATCACGGCCATTAAGGAGCTTATATGGTGCCAGAGGCAGCCTGTGGGCATGACTGCCAGGCTTCCAGAAGCACAGGGAGATGGGGGGGAGGCTGCCCTTTCCTGGCTACACGTGAGCCTGGAGATTTCAGTCACAAGTCCTGCATACCCGGGATTTTCAGCAGATTCACTCATGGGT